ACGAAGGGAGATCCTTTCGCGAGGGCGATACCATAACGACCACTTCCGGTCAGTAACTCGGCGCAATTAAACCGACTTGAGACTCGAGTGCAATTCCGTTAACGGGACCGCTACGGTGCGCCGGTGTAACTGTCCTGTACAGCTTGACAGCACAATGCTTATCCGTACCTCTACATTTTCTCTTGTTCCACCGCGACTCGATATAGACCGAAAATGTAGTTAGTGACTTTCATTCCTGATTAAAGCTAACCAGCCTGTCGTTTCTCGCAAATATAGAATTACAATGTCAAAGGTAAGGTTTGTAACTGAGGATACTTGAATTCATTACTAACACGACTTTATACCCATCGCCCTCCAGAATCGTTGAACGTATGACTCCGAAAATATCAACGACGCAAGGTTATCACGCATCGAGCACAAACAAACGCATTTTTGGATTCACTCTTTTTTACCGACGTTCGACGTTATTTTCCAAACGATATAACGCCTGCATCGACTTCGGCTAATGAACGCGCGTGCACCTTATCTATACCCAAGCATTACGGTAACATTATTGTCTGATAATGCAATAAGCTTTTATCTTTGCCTATAAATATACAATGTATCGAGGACGAATACGTCGTGCCGCGGAGGCCAATTTCGCGCATTTATTATTCTCCTCGCAAATACTTCCGACACATTAACGTTTTTATCCGCTAATTACTCGTTTAACGAGTCTATTTCAAATGTTGTATTGTTCACGGTTAATTGTAAGTATCATTTAGAACTATCTATAACTATAGGTCTCTTATTTTTCCGGCGGTACAGACGTACATACTTAGCGTTAGATACCGGAAAATGTTTCGATAGTGCGTAAAAGGTCTGTCCCTGTTCGAGATTCGCGGATAAATATGCCTGCGACTCGGTGCAACCTCGAGAACTTTTCGTAATAAATCAGTGCACAATGCGACAGGCAGGAATCGGACAACTCTCGTTAGTCGAGTCGAAGAAGTTTGATCCTCCGAAGAAGAGAAAGAGAAAGAGAGACGGAGCAAAGGCCGGTTCACCTTGGTTGCCGGAGCCCATCTGCATGCAGGGATTCAGGATGAAAAAGAGGGAGAGAGGAAAAGGACGAAACGAAAGCGGTGGGAAGAAAGGGGAAGAAGAAGAAGAAGAAGAAAAGGAAATCGAAGCTAGGGGAACGACATTCCAACTGGGGATGGGATGAGAAGCGTCATCTCTTGGAAAACTGAACTTACTTTGCTGCGTTTCGCTACAGAGTTTACATATGCCTATATCGTAGAAATCGGATCGATTTCCGCGCACGATTAGGTGACCGCTACCATGCGAATCGTAAAGACAAAAATCTGAACCGTTGCGAAAACGATTAGAGAGTTTCCGAGTGCCGGAAAATTTTTCCGAATCGTGAAAACGAACTGCGATCGTAAAACGGGGATCGCAGAGTCAGTAATATTTTAATCTCGCGATGTAACTTCCGTAAATCAGATTACAGAGAACAGCGCGTTACATGGAATCAAGTAAATTTCATTATTAACTCTTCCAATCCGACACTTCGTTCGGCTGTTCTCGTGAAGAAGAAACTTCAAAGCCGCCGCTAATAATCGTAGTTAATTTGGCGATTTTCCAATAAATGATTATAACATTTTGAGTAACGCAAACGGGGTGCAAAAACAGGAAGAAGTTAAAATCTTAATAGCGTAGGTACCGAGCGTATATCTCGGTCGTAGAATCGCGTGAGACGAACAAATATGCGGAACGTTGCGCAAGCCTTAATTAAAGTGTGCGCCGACTAATTAACGTAGAACGTACTGTTTACTCTTACGAGAACGCGACGTTCGTTAGGAAAATTGCACAGGCTATCCGGTCGATTGCTCTTCGAGTGTATCGACGAACCGAGTACAACACCAAAGTTTCTTCGTTCGCGTAGGAAGGCCCGAAAACGGCGTCGCGAATCGTAGATACGCGGGGAACGCGATGCACCACAGATTTCGAATCGGATTAAGGACTACGGGAGAGTCGGCTCAGCGACGAAAACACTTACACTGTGGATGTGCGAAATAAAACGGGATCGCCGTTGGAAAACAGCCAAATCGAGTATGGATTTTTAATCGATACGGCATGGGACCGCGGCAATGTCGACGTTTCAGAAACGCGTTGAGGAACGGAGAGAGAGTAACGCATCGATGCGACGCAGTCTCCGCGTCGCGTTTAATTAAATGACGATAAATCGAAAGAGATAGGGGAAAGAGCTGACACGGGGCGAGGGAGAGGCACTGCATAACCGATCCCAGTCGAGTCGCATTTCGAAACTCGCGTACGTTACGCCCGCTGACAAACAATAAATAAAGTTGACCGCCAATCGGACAACCGAGCTAGCAATCGATAACGGCCGGTCTTTGATTAATTGTACAGCCGCACGCAATCCCGCGCTGCCTCCACCTTCCCGCGAATTAACTATTCACAATTTCGAAATTTCGCCCAACGATAGGCAGCTATCGTTTGATGCGTGAGAACTAACAGTTTCGAACTCGACGCCAACGATATTCGACCTGTAACAAATTCGTCGAATACCGAAGAAAACTCGGCGTATTTTTAAGAAATATTCCCACCCTCAGAATTCGGCCGTAGGTATCCACCTCCCGTGTCGCGTTCGCGTCGATAGCAATGGTATTTTTAGATACGATTATATGTACCACCGCTGTGAACTATCCGAAGAAAAGATCTCCGGTAGACTAAGGTACGAAGGAGGAGAAAAAATGGATTAGGGTTTGTCCGAAAAGCGAGTTCGAGAAATCCCGTGGATTTCATTCTCCGTAGGTACTACTCGTCTATCCTTCGGGATCTCGCCGCGTCCCATGGGAAATTGGCCTAAACGGGGTTGTCCAAAACAGGTTTTCGAAGATCAACCACGTTCCAAGGAGTAGCCGTTTCGAATGACAAATCGTGTCGCGTCGAAATACACCAACCGCACGAGATTTTCGAACCAATACACTAGTCCATTAAAAATAAGTCTGCTGTTTGTCAATTGAAGAGGAAAACGATTCATTTCCCGTTCCGATACTCTCAGGATTTGACTTGCTGACGATGCTACGAGAACTGGACTATGGTAGAGAAAAGATTGATCCGATTCCGCTCGGGAAGCTAAATGAAATTGGTAACATCGAGACGGCCTGCGAGTTGCGACCAGGGCAACGTTTACGCATCGGTCGCGAACGGTGGAAAAGAAAGGGAACGTCGAACGGGGAGAAATCCAACTCGGTACGGTCCTGATCCAAAGTTATCCGAGCTCCGCGAGAGAGCCGATTATATTAAATGGCTGGTAAAACGGTCTGCTTAACATAGCGTTTATCTGCTCCTCTTGGTTTTAGTACTTTTTCACTGCCTCGTCAGCCATTGCCCATAAACTCCGCTACGAGACTTGCCGGCATTCTCCGTCTCTCTCTCCCTTCATCCCTCTTTGCTCGTTCCCTGACTACCCCCCCGCCTACATTTTTCTCCGTACCTAGGTCCGACCTACGTCCGTGTGCATGCGCGTCCGCCTGCGCGTCTGTGTACTTAACGCGACTCATAAAGAATATAGGACCATTAAAACGACTCGTCCTCTCGAGTGCGCTCATCATACGTTGACACCTTTTTTGTTTCCGCAAATCCGCTCTACTCCGTCGTCTCTGTTTCTGTTTCCCTTACCCCGCGTATATCGCCGGCTGTCGAATCGCTGTTTTGCGAGCCGGGAATGACCGTTATAATACCGAATAATCGTTACATCTACGACCGATGTCTTATTTTTGCCAAACATCGCAATATAAAACAATCATCTAGCGCCTTGCAGGTCGTACTTTGTTGCACGAAAACGTTTTTCATAAGAAAAAAAATACGAATGACCGATACGTAATCGAACACTTACGGCAGCCTTGAATATTTAACGACGTAATTACGATGCAATGGAAACCAGCGTAGCATCTGTTTCTTTTCGAGGAAACGCAACACCTATCGAACGCTCGTTTACTGAAGCCAAGGTCTCGATCGATAAAAAGTTAATTTCTATTTCTATTCCATCGTACGCGTTGTTCGAGCGAGCCGACTCGGCCGACGAACCGAACCTATACCAAGCGAGAACCCGTCGGGCGTAAAAAGAACTCTGTCGACCTCGCGAATTTTATCCGAGCGACGTACGATGGACCTCATGTATGGAACCTCATCGATGTTCGACCTTCGAATAGCACGATATCACCCCGGCCGTGAATGAGACTGAGAGAACTCTACGTTGAAAGAAGAGCGGAAAACGTGTAGACGCGCATATAGACTTATAACCAGGCGGAAGGATGCGAAAGAGGGTGGCTTAGTGCGAGGGGCGTGGTGGCTTCGTCACCCACGTCGGACGATCAGACGGAAACTATAATACTTTTGGGGTAGCCGATTTACGCGCCGTCTCCTCCGCCTCGATCCCTAGTCCCCTACCTACCTCGGGGTGCACCCCCTGAGATGGATCGAGCCAAGCTAGCCACCCCTCGCGACCGAAAAATAATTGCGCGTTTCGTGGTCTCTTGATCCGCGCGTAAAAGTAATCCAAACATCGCATAAAAATTATGTTTACGAGTTTCGAATGGGCGCAGGGGTCGACCCCGTACCGCACGCGTCGCAAACTACTATAGAGGCATACTCTACTTTCTGCACGATCTCTCTCTGGGATAGACATATCTGAGCGGGAATAGTTCAGAACTCGTATATTAGCCGATACGGAATAGACGCGTGAATCGCAAGATGATCAGCGGTACTACTTACGTATTGAGTACTCTTATCTGGACAATGTCCCCTCAACCAGTAATTGCTTATCTCGATTTTAGACAAATCAGATTATCGTGCATTGAACATCGTAGAATAACAATAATTACGAGAAACATCGCGTACACTTACGTTCATGTTTCCATTATTCTGTTTCGATTCGTAGCAAATTATAGATATTTAATTATAGACATTGATGAAAAAATAACAAAACTCACCTGTCTTTTCCTTGATCTCGCACAAAACGGAGAATAGGGCCGGCTTCATTCTGTGACAGTTCAAAGTATGCTTTCTGCAAAATAGCAAACGAGTAAACTAAGATTACGCATCGTGCGGTCGATTAAAAATTCAAACGCGCTACGATGCGGTACGCGTGATATTACGCGACAAACAAGAACGTTTTGACAAACTCCTACAATCGCATGGACCAATAATGGGAAGATAAACGCATTGTTATCGCGCGCTCGTCTGTATGCGGTCTACGTTATAGTTTGGCATTACCAATACACCTATCATATTTGTCACTTAATGTTTTACGCTCAACTATAGAATCTTAGAAACCATCGAACAAAAATGTTTACTTTTTTCGAACCAAATCCTACTGCAAGCAATTATTTCACGGCGATTGATTTCTTTCTGTGGTCAACGGACAATTACGTACGGAACATCAGTCTCGTTTTAGAAAATTTCTTTCCGTATTTACGTTAAAAGAAAATGTCGAAAAAATGCATAAGAAAAATCTCGCAACGCGAAATGCGATCCATCTTATACTAAAATATGGCCGCTAATCGTATTCGAAATGGGACCAACCTTGCTTGCGCCTCATCCAAGCTTTGATCCGTGATGTTCATTATCTGTTGGAGGATTTCGCTTATGTCCTGTTTCCTAGCTTCGACGGCTTGATCGGGACCCTGCGTCGCGGTTCCATCCACGGGTCCCATGCTGCCATATCCGGCGGTATTTTGGGCCCCCTGGCCCTGATTTCCTCCCATCAAACCAACACTCGATCCTCCGTGTTGCAGCATCCTGCCAGTTTCATCCATCAACCGTGGACAACAGGGTTAAAAGTATCCACCGCCGCCCGTTCCTTCACTTCTCCAGTTTCTTCGTTGTTCTCTTTATTTTTTTTTTCCCACGTTTCTCGGTCACGAGAGCGAATCCGTTCGCGCGACACTTCGCGGACGAGGTGTATCGTATACCAGGTGTCACAGAAAAGCGCGACTCCACGAACAACCGTCCCGCTCTTTCACTTTGTGACGACGATCGCTTATACCTGGGAAAGAAAATATGTTTTACGCACGTGCTCCTTCTCGCTCTCTCTTGGCCGTGCGACGCTTCATATGGAAGCCCGATGAGGCACGCACTTGGAAAAATATAATCTCTCGTAAGCAATGCACCGAATTCGTTGAGGAAACGACGCGATTCGTAGAGACAGAGAGGAGATCCTCGTGACGCGCGGTACGATCGACTTGGAGGTTATGCCGCCGTGGCCTTTGTGTCTTACGCTTACTACGTATCGTTTGGCGTTTTAAGTTTTAACTTGATCTTCCTCCGTCTCTCTTTATCCCGTTTCGCTTGCTTGCTCGATCTTCTTTCTCTCTCTCCCTCTCACTCTCTCACTCTTTGTATCTTTCTTCTTTCTCTTGCCTAGTGGTTTCTACCTCTCTCGATGCCCTTCGTTATCCTTTTTACTTCTGTTTCGCCTCTCTTTCTCTCGTTCCCTTTCTCGTTCTCGTATTTTCGTTCGTTCAGGAACACTCGCGTTGCGTTTAATAATCGGTATCTACTTTGCTAATACACACTACGGGGATGATGAAAATGGTGCCTTCGGCAGCTTTAAACTTGACGGATTGTCGGATTTTACGTATACGCGGTTTAATGTCGACGGTCAGCGTCGCGTCCGGTCCGCACTCCTTTATTTCACTCGTATTTTCCTCCGCTCAGCAAGGATACTCGTAGAAGCTGAGGAAAATCGGCATTCTTCGAGCCATCCGCGCACGGACGTCACACACCAACTCTCCGCCTTACAAGGCAATGCGCGGACCGACCGTTTCTGTCGCTCTTTTCACTCTTCTCGGCCGCGAGCGACTGCTACGCTTACGCTCCTGATGCACGCGCGTGTTCGTACGTTCGTGTGCGCGTCTTGCCTGAGTGTTCGTGCGTGCGTGCGCCAATCGGCGGCCATAATAGCCGCCTCGACCAATCAGAACGGCCGATTCATTTCTTTCTTTATCCGACGAAGAGGTTCGCCTCACTCGCTCACTCGTGTTATTGTCCGCGTGCGCACCCACTCTACTACTCTTATTTATGACGCGATGTCCTGGCTTTTCCTCGAGAACACGCTCCCTTAACCTGTATCCACAGATTCCAAATTTCCCGAATGATTCGTTAAAATATCTTGCTACCGATTTCTTCGACACTATTCGTTGTAATTAAAACAATATCACTTGCCACCTTTTATGAAACTGGTCGAGTATACTTTTATCACGTATTCCACCGAGCGCAAACTCCGCCCATTCCTTCGATTTGTTTTTTTCTTCACCACTGCTAACAACTGCTGGCGTTCAAGTGCGGATAAATGTATCGGTGGATGCGAAATCTTCTAAAAAATATAAACGTTTAATTGTATTTCTCGTCTTATCGACTGTCGTATGGATTAAATGACAAAACTTTTATTTAGGAAAAATAAATTAGGAGTATGACAACGCGCAGGACGATCGCGAAACATGGCCTCCTAGTCGGCCATTGCTTTAACGCGGGACAGTTTGAATTCTCGAGTATGATTTTTCTTATCCTGAACATCGAGGAGCTACGATAAGATAGCCTTATAGGACTTCGTTTTACACGAAAAAATCTGCAATTTTTTATACCCTTTACAATATATTGCCTCTAAAGTAAGAAATAGAAGGCACCGATTGTTGTATTCGTTCTCAATTTTGTCCCCTAGGGGAAACTAACCAATGCACACAGATGGCTCAATTTCATTAATGAACAATATTAATTGTTACTAGCTGTACTTCATTTCATAGACGTCCATGAAGTTTGTTCTCTTCTATGTTATTTTATGATTCATAGCAATAACACATTTTGTTTCTTGTTGAACATGCCGTTGACAAATGCCAATAGCCAGCCAATAGCTAGCTAATATTTCGGACATGGTTAGTTTTCACTAGAGAGATAAAATTCAAAATGAGTCATAAGTTTACTTTTTTTTTTTCAATGCTCGATGCGGCGTCTATTGTGGTCGTAGTGGACTGAGGTATGTATGGCTGCGTAGCAACATTCGTTACAGTTATTGATATACATATTAAAGTCGTTTTTATTACTTTCACAGGAGTAACCAAAAAGTGTGCATTATGGTACAGCAGTAAATAGGACATATTATAAACATACAAGTTCTTTATTTACCAGCATGGATCTCGAAAAATTTTACGATGAAAAAGATGGAGCATACTTGATTCATTTTGCTAACAATGGTAGATTATCGTTAAGTGAGATCAACGAAAAGTTTTCTACTTATGGCAAAGTTCTCTCTATAAAGGATCGTGGGCAACCTTATGGGCTAATATTCATAAGGTATGAAAACCTTAATGATACCCTGAATGCCATCACAGGCTGCCTAGCTGATAAATCGATCCATATCTTGCCACATAAGACAAAAAGTAAAAAAAAGGAAGATGGGACATTAAACATCCAGAGGACTAGTTTTGAAAACAATGAACAACAATGCAACAATGATATAAATACGTTTAAATGGAACAGTACAGTTAATAAAATTTACCGTGATATTAAGAGAAGAAGTATCAATATTAGTAGTCAAACTAGATCATTATTATTGGATCCATGGGAATCTAAAAATTTACAAGTCATGTCTAATTCTAATTCTTCCACTTGGTCATTAACCACCAATGATCATACCAAAGGAATTCCACAATTTGACACAACAAAAATGCCGGCATTAATATCTAATGATGAGAAATATAAAGTACACAGGACTCATCCTTCCTCCCAAAAAAATGTAACTATTGTGTTAGCACATGAAATTATTGTAGCTAATATTCCTCATAATGTGAATGTACATTACATATTACATCTTTTCAACAAATATGATCCGCTATCTGCATCTCTTATAAAGACTACGCCAAAAACTGGAATTAGATATTGTCATGTGTACTATGAAACGCAAGAACAAGCAGATGCCATAGTGAAAGAATTTGATTCATACTCTCTGTTTAATACGAAACTTATTGTTGTAACACCGTGCCAATTAATGGAAGTCTCTTAATAATGTTGAAAACTGTCGATATATTCTTA